CAAGATTTTTTGGGGTACAATCGGATTTTTATCTAATCAGTTGATAAAATATTATCCGTAGTAATTAATTGTTCGAATAATTACCCATTCATGAGCAAAAAAAAAAAGGGATTAATAGAGTTATGTGAAAAACTGACAAGGTCAATCTTAAACAGGCCGTTGTAATTTAAAAGTTGAGAATTTGGATGGACTATATATTTGTAATTTATCTTAAATTATACATAAATTTAGTTTTCAGGTATTTTATCTTATTATATTGTCTTCTCTCTTGTCTTTCAATATATTAATTAATATATAATTTTCAATCTTTTTTTTTTCCTTCTAAGCGATGCTAATTATAAATAAAAGATGTAAAATTAACATGTGATAATATATTAATTTGTTGAAAACCTACATAAAAATTAACATGAGTTAAATATGCTATCTAAAACGGTTTTGGTTGTTAGAAATACGAGGTCGGATAGTTCTGTTTTATCCAATCAATTAATTACTCCAAATTTAATGTACGGTATAATTTATCTAAAAAACAAACCTCTATAAGTATTTATTATATTATAAGTATTATTTTCTTTTTCCTTCTCTTTCTATTATAATAATTTGTTAATTTAATATTCTTTTTTCACCCTCCTCTCTCTTATCATACTTGGTAACGGAAATAACATATCGAGTCGACTGGACTCGAGAAATAGTTTGACCGAACCAGGTGAACCGACAAGTCGAACAGATATCAAAGACACTACAGGTCAAAAAGTTCTCAGGTCGATGATGATGTGGTGGATCCGAGGAGCATGGACAGGTCGAGCTAGTTCCTTGAATAGTCTGATTGAAACTCGACCTGAAGGCATGATTGATTGTAACATCGACCGGATGAGAAGAGAATATGAGGACAACATTGGCAAGCAATCCTCCTCGAGGAAATTGGGGTCGGTCGCGCTATTAGAGCGTCCAATAAGAAAGACTAATGAATAAGAATGATGAATAATACTCTCCTACACACGGTGGACACATGTTAATATGTCAACCGCTTATGTGGCATGCACACATTGATGATGTATTTTTTTAACATATTAACATCACCAATGTGCGCATGTCACATAAGCGATGTGCATATTAACATGTGTCCACCGTGTGTAGGGGAGCATTACTGTAAGAATGATTATTAATTATTAAGATAAGACCACACTTGGATAGGGCTACATGTCCTAACAAAACTTTGCCAGATTAGGCAGTTCGGCCAATCTACACTGCTTATTCTGGTAGTCTTGGGCAACAAGGTAATACATCCCTATATAAGGGAGTGATGTATGCACATTCATACATTACATTCTTTACACATTCTACAAACTTACAGAGCATTATACATTGTTCATTGACTTTGTTCGAATTCTGACTTAAGCATCAGAGGTTTTACACTGAAAAACCTTGCTGACGTTGAGTTTGTGCATGTATTAAAGTTCATCACCTGACAAGCAAGGCAATCCAAGTTGAACCGAGTTTGTTCAAGTTTTTTTTACAATGTATATGAATTCATCAAAATAATAAATAAGTCGAATGTATATGAATTCATCAAAATAATAAATAAGTCGAAAAATATAAACATGCGAATAAATTAAGTGTATAAAAATACACTATTACATATATATAAAACTCACACATTTTTCGTCCTATCAATTTTTTTAGTAATTTGGCTATTGGCGTGACTAAGGTAGCGATTGGTATGTTGTTTGGTATGCTGTTAAAAATATAGGGCATGCTTGTTTATGGATTTTTTCAATCCAATTTTTTCAACTCAAATATTTAACTCAACTTTAACTCAACCCCACTATCTTTAATATTATTCATAAAATTAAATAATAAAAACCAATCATTCTTACACATCACATCAACTTTAATTCACTATTCATCCACTCACATAATTTTAACTACCAATCATTTCCAATCATTTATCTCCTACTTTATATCAAATCAACTTTAACCATTTTTATTTTAAATATTATTTTAATATATTTTTTAAATTCCACTAACAATTAACCACATTACTTTTTCAACTTTAACTATAGTTAACAAAATGAAATATTTTGGTTGAAAAAATCCATAAACAAGCGCCCCCATAATGATCGACCAAGTTTTTTTTTTTTTTTTTTTCACTTTAACTCCAAAACTATTCAAATTTAACTGAACCATACTTTCCTTAATTTATCAGTATAATTAAATAATATCAATAATTAAATAATCATTACACTTTAAAAATTAACTCACTTTTAACTAAAGTTTCAATCAAAATGGATTTTTACTCGTTTTTACTCAATTATCCTGCCCTTTGTTTGGTAATCAACGGTTAGTTGTTAGCTGTTAGAGGATTGTGTCAGCGGTTTTGACTAACGGATTGTGTCAGCTGTTTTGACCAGCGGAATTGTGTTAGCAGTTTGTTATAAAACTGTTTGGCAAATTAGTTGCTTTTAAAATAATTGTTTAACATGCAAAATAACTTAAAAGGACATTCATAAACTTTAATTTCTTTTTTAACTTTAAATTTGTAATTAATTAGAAAATGCAAATTATTCATATTTTTATATATTGTAAAGTAATTCAAATTATTGTAAAAACAAACACAAATATATATATATATAATGGTTTGATTATTTTTTAAATATTAAATATTTCCCTCAAAAAAAATCTATTTACTATTTTTGGGAAATTAATTTAACAATTTATGATATATTTGAAATAATCACTTGTGGAAATGCGGCTCATTATTTAAGGAAATAATTAAGACATATAAAAATTCATTTTTAAGATACTTTAATTATTCAAATTAATTTAATAATTTACTAGTACGTAACCCGTGCGATGCACGGGACAAAAGTATTAAATGGGTCATTTTCACAAAGCTTGTCCTTTAAGTAGCTCGTGCGATTCACGGGAGATATTAAATGAGTAG